CTATACTTGACCCAACAGAATGCAAAAGCAGATACGGAAGGATGTTCACAAACAAGTAAGGTAATGTCCATGAAAATAGGAAATTTTAAAAATATTAATTAATAATTATGTCCGATATACACTTTTCACTGGTTATTTTCAATATTGCTAAATTTACACAAATTAACTAGAGAAAATTAACATAGATTATATATCTAATAATAACTGCATGGCATCATGCCAAGGTAAATTGCTGGTACTTCCCGCACCAAAAATTAATTTTTTAAAGAAGATAATTTTTTTTAACTTGAAAAAATTAGTTTTTGAGAAATTTTTATTTTTGAAAAAAGTTGACTTTTTTGGAATGAAAATGAAAAAAAAGTTTTCTTTATTTTGAAATGTTTTGGAAATTTTGAATTTTGTTTCAAAACAATCGTACTGCTTTAGCTGCATAGAGACGAAATGTCAATACAAGTACAATGTATTTTGAATTATTAAAATCGGACGCTCCGTTCTGTTAAAAACTGAGTCTCCATTTTTGGCTAGCCGTATCTCTAAAACGGCTAGCTCTCCCTTTGCCAAAAATCAGCACGTCTCCTTATCAATAGGAATCGAATGCTTTTTGAATAATTGAAATCGGTTGAAAATTTATACACACATACAGCCATTTTTTCTAAGGTCTTGCAAAATGTTCAGAAACCTACGTAAAACGTAAATATATATAAAAAAATTTCATTTTCAATTTTTTGCTGTGTCCTATTACTATAACTTACCCTAGGAATTGTTAATATTTATTCATGAAATAGTCCTATAGCCTTGTAGTTGATACAATTTACTTTCGCTAAATTTAATGGAAATACTATGTACTTTTTTCAGATACATGATATATTGTTCATAATAATGTCAAAAAATATATGCATTACCCTATATTATTTAGGACGCAGAGAAAAAAGACATGGTCAAGACTGATTGGTGATCTACCTATGTTTAGCTTGCAAATTTTGTAATATAAATTCGGAATTTGGGTCTATTGTAGTAACCCTGAAAAATAAATGATAAAGGAAATTGTAATTAAGTGATAATTTGTAAGCTAAACGTAGGTCCCTGAAAATTTGTAATTAAGTGATAAAGGAATTAGCTTTCTCATTAAAAATTAAATGCTGTATTCCAATTTAAAATAAAAGCTGGAGTATCAGTTAGAATTGATAAAATTTGTGAGTATAGCAAAATAGTAAAATTTTGACTTTGATCCTAGATAATATTTTGTGGTGATGACTTTTTGGTCTTTACTTCAGGTAAGAAAGCAAATTTGTGAGGGCACAAGTCTTTTTTTATGTGATAGTCAATGTTAACAGTAGTTTCTGAATTTCGCACATAAAAATTTTTTCAAAACGTTAAATAAATTGTAAAACTTAAGAAAATTAGAGAAATTGGGGAATGCACTAAAAATGTAATGATAAAAGGCGGCCAGAGCCAATAATATCTTTTTGATACATGTTAATTTTATGCATTACTAATTTCAGCATGCTGTGTGCCGGTTATCTCGAGGGAGAAAAAGATGCCTGTCAAGGTGATGACGGGGGTCCTCTAATAACAAAAAATAGAATTGTGATAGGAATCACTTCCTGGGCATCTGGATGCGGAAGAAAAGATAGTCCAGGTGTATATACTCGTCTTTCTTCCCCAGACATCAGAAAATTTATTCGTCATAACGCTGGCGTTTAAGTCGAGTCAAGGAATATTAAATAAATAAAACTAAATAAAATTAGTAATTTTATGATATTATATATTTTATAAATTATACATTCATTACAATTATACATTATACATTATACATTCATTGTTTTCAATAAAATAGATTTTGTTTGATATGTGATAAATTGATTAAGTATAATAAGAAACATCGATTAATAGTTTTGCGGCAATATTGAATAAAGTTATGAAATTTAGGGCATATTGGTATGATAAGTTAAGCAAATTGTTAAAATATTAGATATAGCAACACAAAAATTTCAATTTAAAAGTTTTTCTTATGTTTTTAACGTTCGTATAGATTTTTTTTTTATTTTCATCTAAACTATAACTGCCTGAGAAAGCATTCAGTAATTGTTGTGATTAGTTATAAAATAAGTTTTTAAAATACTACCCATGGTAGTATTTCAAGTTAGTATAATAAATATAAATATGTGACAAATTGCAAGCAAATAATAAATATAAATATGTGAGAATAATTACAAGCACTATACGAAATATTATAATTCTATACTAAGTCGTATAGAAATTAGTTTTCAATATGAACACAATAAAGCGGCAGGAGTGGCCGGGCGCAAAATCCACCGGCCGCCCACATTATAAAATGGCCCACATTTTTTAAATTTTATACTGATGTGCGCCAATTTCTTGAATGAATTTTTCTGAACTAATTCAGTGAACTTTGATTTTAAACGAGATCTATAATTTTTTTATTGCGATTCAATACACAGATGTTTTTGTTACAACTACTGCCGCCTAAGAGAGGAATCTTTTAGTGTTTTTAATCAACGTGTAATTGAGTACGCTGAAAAATCTCATGAAATTGAATACAACGTGACGTTTTTTGCATCAAAAGATTTTGAATTGTTTTTCATAAAAATATAACTGTCTGCAATTTTGTTTCTAAATGAATTTGAATTCAAGATTAATTTTATACATTATTACAAATGAAAAAATTACAGTTTTGTAATGTTAATTTTTTAATAAATTTCAGAGCTCCTGAAGCAAATTAAGGATATTTAAAAATTTGCACTATTTTCCAACGATTCATTTGGTACAATACAGTTGAATTTTTATCACAACATTTATTTATATCACAATTTAAACAATCAAATCAATTTATTCATGAGCTCTACTAATTTTCAAACATTAATTTCAAATATTATTAACTTCCCGAAGGAGAAGTGTGTGTGTGTGTGTGTGAGCGTGTATGTGAACTAATACTAACCTTTCTAACGATGCTAATTAAAAAATAGTCCAAACAACCGCACTACCCCCAAAATTCAAAACAAAAAATTTTTTTTCATTTTTTTTTTTACTAAAAAATAATTATTTACCAATATTTGTTATTAATAATGCAGTACATACCAATGTGAACAGATTGGCGTTATTGGTTTGTCGATATCTCTTACAGTTGCGACAAAAAACGACTTTGAAAAAAGGGGCCACTTTCACACATTTTCAATGATATCTCGGCCAAATGATGAGCTACGGATTTGAAATTTGGTATATCTGATTTTTCTCGAAAAACCTATAAAATGGCATCAAAATTATCTAAATACCAGGGTGGGGCCAATTCTGTATGGAAACACGCCCATACCCATTATTTTCGAAACTAGTGGAGTAGGGCATCGTGCCTTAAGGCAAATTGCTGAAACTTCCCGTACCGTAACAAAATTTTCGAGAAAGATTAAATGTTTTCAAATAGATTTTAAATTCTGTATCATCGTATAATATTTCAATATAAACTGAATTTCAAAGTTAAAATAATTCACTTGAAAGATTTAGAACTTTAACCGCAATTGAAATTGAAATCTGAATTATTTTCGATAACAAAAAAAAATTTTTTGAAAAAAATTGAAATGAAATTTTTTTTCTCAAAATCAATTGGTTCGTCAACACAAGCAGAAAGTTTTTTGATTTATTCAAATCTGATGCTTATTTCTCTCAAAAACTGCCATTTTGTGTACATTTAGCTCAGTATCTTCAAAATGGCTGGACCTGTCTTTGCAAAAACTAATCAGCACATCTTCCGATCAATAGGAATCAAATGTTTTTTAAACCATTCAAATCGGTTGATCGGAAAACGTAAACGAAAAAATGCGGACACACAAAACACACACATACATTTTTTCTGAGGTATGACAAAATGTTCAGAAACTTTCAAAACGTCGAGAAATGCAAAATTTTTCATTTTCGATTTTTGGCCCATTACTATAACTACCCTACGGGAAATATAATAAACAGTTGAAAATTTTATCTAAATATCTAAATGTCAATTTCGGTTGATTAAGTCAATTATTACATCTATCGGGAAGTTCAAGCAACTGCCTTAAGTGTATTGATTACTTAAGCCTTAAATGTATTGATTACATTTGATATGTAGTAATTAATGATCTAATCGACCAAAATCAAACTTTTAAGCTATAGAATTCGTGAAAATTAAAGTTTCAAACCACTTGCATGGAAATTATTATTAGAGCACGAAAAGAATAAAAATATTGAATCAACAATTACAAATGCATAATATAAGCTATACACTTACTTCAAAATATTACCCAATTTCTGTAGAAATGAATAAAAATATAAAAGCCTATTATATTATAAAATTCATTATAGTTAAACATGATATTTATTTTAGAAGAGTGAATCTCTATAAAAAAAGCTTAAGAGAATACTTGTAATATCAACACTATATGGCGGAATTTCTATTTATCTTTTTGAATACTAATGATAACAATGTAATATTGTGCAAATAAAACTGATAAAGTGCGTTAGAATTAGTAGTAAACAAGCATAATATAAATTATATAGTTTAAAATGCGCCTATAATCTCTTCAAAGTGAATTACGAATACTATTTATTGATAAGTTATCAACGGATAAGAATCAAATACGTAGGTGTTTTAAAAACAATTTAAGCTATCATTAGTTACTTTGAATACTGTATATAAAAGAAGAAAAAACTAAAAATGTATTAGTTCTGGTGGCATTTGAAACTAGCACCTTACAAAATGAAAATAATATTGGTGCTGTTGGTTGCCGTTTTTGCTGTTTCGGCCAGACACACTAACAGAAGACGTAAGTAAAAGTAATATTTTATGAAAAATTTTCAACATTCATTCATATGTAAAACGATTTTGAAAAATAGTACCGTATTTAAGTTTCCAAAAAGTTGAATATTATAATCTCTATAAAAGGTAAAATTATTTTCGTTGTAATACCTTTACGTTTGATACCATCCCAATAGTTTTGGCATAAGTACGTAGGTATTGTGATTTTTTTGTATAGCGAAAGAAATGCATTTATGCAACCCAGTCAGATCTTTTGTTCGCGTATGTCAGACTCCATACAGCCTGGATATAATACCGATTGAATCCAAAGCTTTTCTCTTGCTTCTGGTACTCACGGAAACCGCCGTTATGCATTATTTCGTAGGGGAGGATCTAGAGTGCTATAATTTTTGCTCAGAAATTTTACTTATCTTTGTAGTTGTGTACACGTATAAATTTGCCACACGTATAACGAGTGAACCGATTTAAATTATTAACTAGCTGTAAGTGGAATTCTGTCTTAAGGCAATTAAGGCATCGTGCCTTAAGGCAAATTGCTGGAACTTCCCGTACCAATTATTATTACTTTTTTAAAAACGAATAATATTCTTGAAAAAATTTTACTTCAAAAAAATAAGATTTTTGAGAAACTATAAATTGGACAAAAAATTATTTTTTTGAAAAAAAAATTTTTTTTAATTTTTTTTTTTTGAAAAATAATGTTTTCTTTATTTTGACATATTTTGAAAGATCTGAACTTTTTTTCAAAGCAATCGTACGGCTTTAACTGCATGTGGAGACAAAATATAAAGCGCGTAAGCGCCGCGTCGCCGTCTAACGGATAAACATTGGTACGGAACCCATAGGAATGTAAACAAAATTTATACTTATTGTTAAAATCTCTATAAAATATCTGATAATTTGATGTGCATATGTCTAATGTTTATTTTTGACCGCCAAATGGCTCATTTTTTTACTTTTTTCCCCATATCTCCAAAGTCGTTGGACCTGCCTTTCCAAAAATTTGAACAGTTTTTTATTAGTCAATACAAATAAAATGTTTTTTGAATTATTCAAATCGGACGCTCCGTTCTCTAAAAACTGAGTTGCTGTTTTTGGCACTTTTTGCCCCGTATCTCCGAAACGGCTAGACCTGCCTTCTCCAAAAACTAATCAGCACGTCTCCTTATCAATACGGATTGAATGTTTTTTAAATTATTCAAATTGCTTCATCCGTGTTCCCGAAATCTTCGACAAAAATTTGTATCCGCACACACATACATACTACGCACACACACACACACACACACACACATACATCCATTTTTTCTAAGGTATGCCAAAATGTTCAGAAACCTCTGAAACGTAAAGATATATAAAAATTTTCATTTCGAATTTTTTTGCGATTACTATAACTTACCCTACGGGAAGTTAAAAAACGATTTGTAAGCTTATAAATCCTATTACAAGTTCTTGAATATAGGTATTACTGAAAAAAAAATAACTAAGGAGGCGTCCATTAATCACGTGAAGCGTTGATTTTTGGGGGGGGGGTTAACGAAAAAATCACGAAAAATCACGTGGGAGGGGGAGGGGTCCAGTGAGATATCACGTGTATTCATTTTTTACCAAAATTTTCAAAAAAGAACAGAAATTTGACGTTTTCTTCGTAAATAAATAAACGATTAATTCGAAAACTTTGTTCGGAAAATTTTACGTAACTAAAAATACACGTGATGTTTGCTGGGGAAGGGGGGGTAAATCTAAATGTGACGACGTATCACCAAGGGCGAGGGGGGACAAAAATCTCTAAAAAATCGATCACGTGATTAATGGGCACCCCCTAAGCAGTTATTTATGGGCAAAACTAAGTATTCGATTCATGTTCACCAAAGTATCAGACACAAACCGTAGAAGATTTTAAATTACAATTTTAAAAATTCTTATAGTACACGTAAGTACTACTTTGCGTACAAAATTATAGCTATTCTTGAAGCAAATCCTACTAAATAGAACAGTATAAAAAATTAGTAATTAAAAGTAGTGTCTGTAGTGAGATCATTTAAATTAATATTTGTAATCAAATCTTTATAAAAAGAAAAATTACTAATGATCAAATCTAATATTTTAGACACGGGTAAATTTCGCCGGACCTCCTTAACAAATCGCATTGTCGGAGGTGAGGATGTAAGTATTGAGGATTATGGGTGGCAAGTTTCTCTACAAATATATGATCCGCCACAACATTTCTGCGGGGGAACGATTTTAACTAAGGACTGGATTTTAACTGCTGCACACTGTTGGCCAAAGTGAGTTAAATTCTGAGTTGAAGTGTTAGCAAATTGTCATAAAGTTTTGAGTATTTATATCTTTATTACAGACAGATTAATCCTCGATATGTTACAATCAGAGCTGGAAGTAGCGACGTATATAATGGAGGAACAGTGATAAAATTATATTTCCATATAATTCATCCAAACTACAATACAAAAACACATGATAACGATGCTGCCTTAGTTTTTTTGCAATCTTCCTTGCCTTTAAACAGTGGATCAATTCGTTCGATAGGTTTAATTCCACAAGGAACCGTTTTACCCGCGGGGGAAGAAGTTACTGTAACGGGATGGGGATATTTACAGGTAAACTATAAGCAGTTCATTCTAATGAAGGTAAGGTAATAATAATGATATATTAATATATGATTATTTTGCAGCAAGATGTTGAGGTCGTATCTGAAACTCTTAAAGGAGTCACGGTGCCAATAATAGATACGGCTACATGCAAAAAAGATTACGAAGGTCGTTATACAGTAACTGATAAGTAAGTAGTTTGCCACAAGGCAAAATAAAAAATATTTAAATAATTTAACATTTATTATTTTTAATTGTCTGTACATTTTAGCATGATATGCGCTGAGTACAAAGGAGATGTGCCCAAAGATTCCTGCCAGGGGGACAGCGGTGGTCCATTAGTTAACAGTAACAAAACTCTTGTGGGAATTGTATCTTGGGGCGCTGGATGCGCCAAAGAAAACTCTCCGGGTGTGTACTCACGAGTTGCTTCTCCAAGCATTAGAAATTTCATTCGTGCTTATACTTTTGTTTGAAAACTTTTATTTGAAATTACTTTATCAAGAAATTATGTCTTGTATTAAAACGTGTAATAATAATGAATAAATTTGCTTTGCACATTAAGCGTTTGATCTTTCAAATTCTTCTAGCAACCATAAGGTTTAAATCCAAAATAAAAATAGGCTTTCGAGACATTGCTTAAATATCACGATTAGTAAAGAAGACTATTAGATTGTCTATTAATATTGCTCATATACAATCAAATAGATATCTGCCTAAATTTGTCTTCTCTGGACAACTGACAATTGATAGCTCACGTAAAATAAAATATCTAGAAGAAATAAGCATTGTTACCCGTTTAAAAATAAGCATGGTACCTGTTTTGAAGTAGTTGCTTCAAAACGGGTAAAAGCATTAATATTATTTAATGCTTTAACAAATAAAAGCATTAAAGAATATTTAACTAGTCCCCAGTAGAAATGTATCATGGCCAGAGAGGTAAAAAATCGTGGCGCAATATTCAAATCTTGTATTTAGATGAGCCGGACAATACTTGTTTTCAAAATTATGAAAAATTTGGAAAATTGATGGCCGAACTGTTTTATATGGTTTATTACTAATAAAAAACATGTTTACCATCTGATTTACACCTCTAATTTTATATTTTCACAAATTATACATAATTTTTAAATGAGAGCGTATAATCGACGTTTTTTTGTGGACTATACCGAGATTCGTTTTTTCAGTATTATCGAACTTGGGAAATACATAAGGGCCACGAAAAAAATTAACAACAAATAATTAATTAGCACTAAAAACATGATTAAAGCTTTTGAAAAGTCATATGCTCGATCGTAATTAATAGTTCGATACATTTTTTATAAATTCAATATATATTTTGAATATGGGCCAGATGGAAAATCTTTGTGGGCAACCAAGATTTGTTTCTTCAGTATTATCGAACTTGGAAAATACATATTTATATTTATATTTATAATTTATTATATTAATATTTATAATTTACTTTTTCGAAAAAAAAGACCTTTGAAAAAAAAATGTTGTCTCTACTTTGGAATATTTTGGAAATTCTGAACTTTTTTTCAAAGCAATCGTACTGCTTTAACTGCATAGAGACGAAATAACATGGCGCGTAAGCGCCGCGTCGACGTCTAACGGAACAACATTGGTACGGAACCGATAGGAATGTAAACAAAATTTATACTTATTGATAAAATCTCTAAAAAAATCTGATAATTTGATGTGCATATGTCTAATGATCATTTTTGACCGCCAAATGGCATTTTTTTCTACTTTTTTCACTAGATCTCCAAAACCGCTAGACCTGCCTTCACGAAAATTTGATCAATTCTTCATCTTGTCAATACAAGTAAAATGTTTTTGAAATTATTAAAAACGGACGTTCCGTTCACTTAAAAACTGAGTTACCGTTTGTTGCACTTTTTGCCCCGTATCTTCAAAATGGCTAGACCAAAAACTAATCAGCACGTCTCCCTATCAACAGCAATAGAATCATAAATTTTGTCATAAATCGACGTTTAATCAAAAACGGGTGCACCGATTTCAAAATTTTAAAAGCGATTCGATATATCACGATGAGGACTAGTGTTAATCAGTTTTCTTTTTGTTTCGTGAGTAGTAGAGAAGTGAAAAATTTTCGTCCACGTTTTAGCCCGCAATTCTGAATCGATTTTGAAAATTCAAAAATCGTCCGAAAGATTTTGATTGGTAATCGACCTGATTAGTTTTTGGTAAAGATCGGCCGGGCCGTTTTCTTGTAATAAAGTGTGACTATTTTCATGAATTTTTTCTGGTGATAGATATCGTGGTCTTCTAGATCATACTAAAATATTACGGCCCTTCGGCAAGGCGTTCAATTCTGAAAATTTGTCAAAGTTTGAGAAAATGAGTCGTTTTTGATGTTTGTTAAAATTAAAATTAGACGATTTACTTGGTATACTTTCAATCACTCAGAAATTAATGTATGTACTATTTATTAAGTCCGTTATATTTACACATATCGGGAAGTTCATGTAACATGCCTCAAGGCAAAACACCAATACCAACTAGTTTGAAATTATTTTTTAAAAAAAACGTACTTTTAAAAATTTTTGAGAATTTGAAATTTTTTTTAATTTTCAATTTTTTTGAAAATTTTTCAAAATTTAGTTTTTTTTAAATGATGAAAAGTTTCGAAAATTTTAATTTCTCGAAACTTTGAATTTTTTTGTTTGAATATTTTCAAAATTACTAAATTTTTTGTAAATGCATTTTTTGCACACCGCCTACTCAAGCAAAGTGTTTATTGAATTAATCTAATCGGATGATCCATTCTCTCAAAAACAGCAAAATCGTTTTGACATCCTTTGCGCTTCATTCCTCCGAAACGGTAAAATTGCCTTTTGCATGAACGTTTCGCTATCGTGTACGAACCGAATGATTTTTATCATATACAATCCATATTGTCGAAAATGTCGAGGACATTTGTTTGAACCGTATAAATAACCTTCAAAATTAAAAATCTAGGTACGAAAATCAAAAAAAATTACACAAAATGTGTACACATTATTAAAATGCCAGATAATTCGATGTACATATGTCCAATAAACATTTTGGACTGCCAAATCATTACTTATTTTTATTGAAAGCCCTTAATCGCTGGACCTGCGTTGCAATAAATTTAAGTTTCTTGTTTTGTCTTAAATTATCTTGTCAATAACAACGGTTAATTGGTAATTTAATTTAGATTTAAATTTGGGAATGATAGCATATATCAAGAGTGTCAAATGTTTAAACAAAGAAGTGTACACTGTTTAGTCCATTTATTTTTTGGTACAATTGCTGCTAATTATATCAAATATTATTTCAATCTCAAAATACAAATAATGCATGAAGTACGTCCACAAAACGATGGATTCTAAATTAGCGGTACGCATACTCTGATATCAAAAAGTAGTGATATTTGAAAATAAAGTCAAAAGTATATTCAAACTATACATTCAATCACCTTTTACAATTAATTTGATATGGCAGCGTGAGAAGTATAGCTATCCTGCGATAGCACCTTCTGTAATTATAGCATCAGATGTTATGAGGTACGATGTAATAAATCAATGCAGGTTCTTCTCTTAAGTCGCTTTGATAAGTGGTAAAGGCTTGAGCAGGTCACATGCTAGTCAGTTTGGATGTCAACTTAGCCGAGTCTTGTATCTGGAGCAGAAATGGTTAATTTCTTCTTCCACAGTTAGAATTCTAAGGTCTTGATGTATTAGCCAGTTTGATACATATTTTGAGGCGTTCGAGATTTGTTTTAAAATTTTGTTATGGAACCTCTGTAGAATTGCTATGTTTGATTTACTATCTGCAGCCCATGGTTGGCCGTAGGACCATATTGGTTTAATAATTGTCTTGTATATTAGGAGTTTATTTTCTGAAAAAAACTTGCGATTTCCAGCCCATTAACCAATTAAATTGTCTACGAGTCAGTTCGAGCTGCTGGCGCTTTTTAATTATATGTTTATGCCAGGTTAGTCTCCTATCCAAATGTATTCTCAGATATTTAACTTCATTGGGTACAGGAACTAATTCACCACTCAATCTCACAGGAGGGCATGAACTTTGTAGTAGGGTGTAAGTTTCAAGTAAAAATTGTTTTTAACGGCATGGCTGGAAGATCACGGTTAGTAAGGACCACCATTAGTTTGTTTTTCAAAAGCGGTCGTAAGTCTATTAAATCTACAAGCAAGTATGGCTTACAGCAGCTTACAGAACAACTAATTTTGATTGCTTTCTCAAATACTTTCAAAGTAACAGTTAAAAAAAACTAATTTCTATAGAGACTTATGAAGATAATAAAATATCATTTTAGTGCCGTATTTCAAATCTTTATGGCAACAACAAAAATTATTTATTAACAACAAAAGTGTTTTCAAGTTTCTATTCAAACTCATTACGCGTACAAATTATTTTGCATATTAATCAACTGATTGAATAATTGCCCTAGAACTGATAAATACACAGCAATACCATTTTGCAATTCATGTTGATTGGCAATTTTCATAGTTACCACCAAGGTGGAACAAATAAAATGTTATTTTTTTTGTTTGTTCTATTACTCACAACTCTTGTTGATTCAAGAAATATTAGACATAGGCGTAAGTTCAACATTGAAATAATTTTGAAGATTAATTAAGAGATCGATAATAACACAATAAAAATATTATAAGTAATATGTAGCAAGTTGATCTACATATAAATATTTTTGAAGATAATCGTATTGTTGGAGGTGAAGAGGCTGATATTTCGGACTATGGTTGGCAAGTTTCTTTGCAAGCAAATGGTGCACATTATTGTGGAGGATCAATAATAAGTCCGGAATGGGTCCTTACAGCAGGACATTGTATTCTCACGTAAGAGTTTTGAGAAATTACTCATTGTTAATTAGATTATTATTAGATCAAAAAGAGTACTATCAATTTCCCAATGTGTTATTTAGATATTTATTATATTCAAATAATCGTAATATTAATAGTTTGCAGCAATATCCATACATCTTCTCATTTAATCATGCGTATAATACTAAAATTATAAGTAATAAGCTTCTATATATTTCTCAGTTTGAATGAACAGGAATTGATTAAATACTCTTTAATGTATAATAGAACCGGACATAATAAAATATTGCACCTAAAAGTAAAATAGTGGTGTATTGCATCGTGTCTTAAGGCAAATTGCTGGAACTTTCCATACCGTAATGAAATATTCAAGGAAAATTAAAAGTTTTCAGATAGATTATTATAAATGCTGTAACTTTCATTATTTTTATTTTATAGACGAAATATAAAAGTTTATAAATTGGACAACGAGGTTCATATATATTGATGAAAATGTTAATGAAGAAAACCTAACTAATCGGATTTAAAATAAAGAACACTAATATTTTTAGGAATGATATAAACTGAATTGCAAAGTTAAAATTATTTATTTGAAGTATATAAGTGATGTTTAGAGCTTTAGCTAGAATTAGAATTAAAATCCGAATTATTTTCTATATTCAAAAATAATATTTTTTAGAATTAAAAGAAGTTAGTTAGATTTTTCCCCAAAATCGTCAACACAAGCAGTAAGTTTTTAAATCATTCGGATGCTAAATTATCTCAAAAATTGTAACATATAACTCCGTATCTCCAAAACGACTAGACCTGTCTTTGTCAAAAATTAATCACGACTTCTCGCCATCATTGCGAATTGATTGTTTTTTTTTTTGATCATTCAAATCGGAACTCCTGTTCTCTCAAAAACTCGATTTTTATTTTCTGTATTCTTTGCTTTGTATCTCCGAAACGACTGAACCAGCTTTTGCCAGAAAATAATCAGCCCGTCGTCTTATCAATAGAATTCATTCAAATCGTTTGTTTGGTACGCCCGAATTCGTCGACGAAAAATTGTATTCGCACATCCAATTTTTCTAATAATAAGGTATGCCAAAATGATCAGAAACTTCTGAAACGTATAGATATTCAAACATTTTTAATTTCAATTTTACAATTGCAATTGGACGATTACAATAATTTACCCTATGGTAAAAATATCTGGATTACTTCAGTTTTTTTTTTAATTTTTTTATGAATTTATTCGAATCATTAGTGATTTACACAGTTTTATAATGTCTAATCATTTAATTTAAATTTAACACATTTTGAATAATTGGATATAGTAATTTGATAGTAGATAATTATAAACACTACTCCAAAAGATTTTTTTTTATGTTATACACATTTATTAGAAATTATGATATTTGTAATTAAATATCTTTGATTTGGTAATTGCTATTCTAACATTCTGTCTTTTATTGTGGTTAAAATCATTCTTTTATTACTAAAACATATTTCTAAGCCGCGAAATGATAAAAAAATTATTTTGATTTACATTTGTTATTTATTGTCACATAATCCATTACACTATCGAAATTCATTTATAAACTCCAGTTATAAAAATATCTAACAGACATTCTTAGCTCAAACATACTTTTTGTTAGAATTCATCTCTTGTTTTATAACATAGAATTGTCTATCGTTATTTATAGATAGGCAAGGTAAAAATATAATTGTAATTGACTAAATATTGTCGTAATTATTATTTTTGATTAACTAACACAAAATGAAGTAATAAGACATATAATAATTCAGGCGAAATTAACCCATTAGTTACTGATTTCAGAAGATAATATCTGAAGCACACTCTTCATATTGTATTTATGTGTTTAAAATTTCTCAGGTTAAGGCGCATAAATCTTCTTGACAATTTTTGTATTTTCTTTCTTTTACTATGACTCACTTCATATATAAAAACAATTATTGCTATTGCATAGCCTATAATTAACAACACAAAGGCTCCACTAATTTCACTCGATGTTATTCTGATTTTAATATCATCGTCCAATATTTCAGTTTCATTAACGGTGTTTGATTCGTGAACCTGTAATTTCCATTTTTCAAACAATCCCGCTGCAACACATATAGATATGACACGATCAAAATTAGTCTTGAAAGGAAATCCTTTTACATATAACATTTCTATTGGAAAACTAATTACGGGTTTATCAGATACATAAACTTGACGTATTAGGTCATCCGAAACATAGGACAGAAAAAGTTGGCTTGTAAAAGTTGTCACATTTTTAAAATCGGCGATGTATTCCAAGGACCGTTTTGCTGGTAGTTCTTTATAATGATCCACAATATATTTAGAATTTGAATCGTTGCTATGTGAAAATACGAACAATGTAGTATCAATACCTACTACGGCAAGACCACTTTGCACTATTTCGTCTTCACTTGAAATTTGATATTCTTGTAAAGGAAATGTGTAGGTATTAATAAGACCAATTTGAAATATTGCATATAAATTTACATTAAAAATAAACCAAATGCAAGAAGCATTCTCAAGACATAATATCTAGGAAATTTACCCATAAAATTTGTCAATGCAATTGAATACATAGTCAAAAAGGAGCCAATTATAGTTTTAAATATTGAATAATCATTACTATGTTTCGCTAACAAGAAAAATAACACAGATGCGATAATAAGAGCACTTGTGGAAGCAAGAAATACAAAGGGTGGCAAAATTTTATAAAAGTTCATCCATCCAGGTGCAAGACCAGCCAATGGTAACACAAATACTTGCGGATCTTGAAGATAATGTGTTGAGTAATCAAAGTATTTATGAATAGAAGATTCAGGAAAATTTCCGCCAATTGCAATATCTGCCTTCCGTTGATAAAGATACTCGTACATTCCAGTGCATGTTCCATTATCACTCACAATTCCCCAGTTTTCAGGAACTGAAAACGATCGAAACTCAAATCTGCAATTGTAATACTTTTCCAAGACCTGCAACAATAATACTTCATACCCATTAGTGAATGGTATGTCCACATCATCCTCTACTTCCAAGTCATTAACTGGGAGTACAAAAGGCGGCCAAATAATCGCTATAACTTTGATGGGACATGCGAGCATATTGTTGCGTATTTTAACTGGAAATAAATTTTCCTCGTATTTCATTTTGCCATCCACACAATGATTTATAACAGTATAATTGAACAATTCATCACCGCAACTTCCATTCTCATAAGGAAACCAAGTGACAATATTAAAGGTATGAATATCATAATCGTCAGGCATCAATATCACACAATTGATCACATATAAACTCCAAGTTTTTGCATCACGTATATAACTATATTATCTAGAAAATCATCAGTATTAATAAACAGTATAATGAAATATGCTTCGGGGTTCCATGTTGGCAAGTTTGGAGAAGCAATAAGTTTTCTTCAAAATCTTCTTGTGATTGTATTAGTAATATGTACGCCGAAGTGCGTTCCAAATGTATTTTCCAATGAGAATGATCCAAGGCAACATATTTTGTCAAAACTTGCCATCGTAGTTTTGAATGTATACCTTTTAAAATACGACTGTCCAGTCCCACAGTATTTAAAGATGATGTTTGATTTGCTATCATTGATACTGAGTAAATGATCATGCCTCGACCAAAATATTCTAGTGCAATTTGATTTGCGCAAGCTGCCTGACTTTTGTGTATCTGTTCAAGTTTTGTATATTTCACAAAATCAGAAGAATAGCACGTTGCAAATAAAAATGACAATATTAGAAGTGTAGTGAAATTCAAATAATTAATTTGATATGTTTTGAACATTTCCGAAATAATAACATATAATTATTGTTTTATTATATAATTATTAATAATAATGAATAAATTTATAAGAATAATATTTTATAACGCCTAATGAACTTGCACGTGTTTGAACTGAACAAATATTAACGTGATATACAAATTAAATATAAAGGTAGAAGTGAATATAAAATCAACATGATCTTAATTATCAGTAGGTCATTATATACATGCGTGATGCTATTTTTCGTGAAACGAAAACCATGTATTATAATTTGCCTCAGTTCAATCCTTACAAATCTTTACGAAACATATTATTTATAAATTCTGCGAATGAAATTAATCGTCTACTGGATTCCGATACTATCTCAAATATGGTTACAAAAATAATGAAAAATAGGCATTATGTCTATTGAGAAATTAACTAAGCAAATCACTTTATATTACAAAGAACTACAAATTTCTTGCAGGATTCATCAAAATTAGGAATAATATTTGTATTAAATTTAAATATAATTGGCGTGTAGTACACAACATTAAGAACATTTTTTTCTTAGTTTGCATTTTTAATCTACTCCCACCACACGTGAGTGATCGTCAACTTCACAATACTATAGGGGGAAGTCTCCTAGTGGCGGGCACCTAAGGTTATTTATAAATAAATCAAAAAAATATTTTACGAAATATTTATTAAATTATGATTTATGTTAGATAACAAAGTTAGAAATCAAACTAAATTAAAAAAGCCGCAATCTTTGCTAAAAAATAATTAATAATATCAATCAAACTTTGGTATAAAAAAATATGATTTTAAAAAGTGGCACCTAGTACCGGACATTTCAAAATAACCTGCATTGATCACATATGTAGCCATTTCCACACTTTGAAATGTCTGCACATGTGTCTTTGACGAATATTTTTAGCTATCGCAAAAAAAAATCACTATTTATCCACCCTTTGGCTAGGCCATACTGACGATCTCAGCTGGTGCATTCACCATAAGATTTTCATTCTTTGACTAGGAAATACGAAAAATAGGGGTATGTAGTGACCGTTAGCACTCATACAGAACAAAATTAAATAATTGAAATAAATTACGTAAATTCTCACAAGAAATATCAATATGTTTACTGTCCGGCACCAAGAAACAACTTACTGTCCGGTGCTAAGGGACAGGCATTTTCGTTCATTTGGTGGCACCTACTAAAAT